GCTTTCTAAAAGTTAGGAGAGACACGAAACTCTAATCATTCATTACAATGATACAACTGGGGTTGTTAGAATGTTTGTTGTGCTGGACTCCTACAGTATTTTAAGGAGCAGAGAAGAAGAGCAATTAAAACTCAGAAACGTTGAGTGGAAAGGCTAACAAAACCCTTCTTCTGGGAAGATATTATTTTAAGAGGAAAAGCACAGGCTGAGGAAGGAATGCAGCACCTTCTTCCCCATTAATCTTCTGTAGTCTGTATTTGATTTTTCACACACCAAGAAAGCTTCACACCCCACCCTACAGAAATTAGGTGGCCATCTCATTCTGACTGGTGATGGAACACCTTGACTCAGTTTTCAGAAACAATTGGGTATTTATCAGCTTCCTTGGGAAACTGTCAGAAGAAAGCGCACTCTTTCTCTCCAGAATTATTTTCCAGTTTGTATTGTTGGTGATGGTGACTGCATTCAGGTCCCTCTTTATATTACTGCCATCCCAACCTGGAAGTGTAGCATTCAAACCTATGACTCAATACAGCAAACCTAAAAAAGGGTGCCATTTATTCATTCATTAGATTTATATCCTGCTTTTTTCTTTTATAAGGAACTCAAAACAACGTACATCATCCTCCTCCTGCAGCTCTCAATCTTATGTGCACAACGACAACCCTGTGAGGTAGGCTGGGCTGAGAGTCTGACTGGCCCGAAGTCACCCAGTTAGCCCCATGGGGACTAGAACCCAGATTGCCTGCTCTTAAACACATTGGCTCTCTTTTAGGTGTAGATGACCACAGTTGTTTGTGGTTGCTGTGAGTTCATAGTGGTCAAAAGCTTCAGAGAGAATTTCATTCACAATAAACACACAAATATTAAATATATCTTGTGCATGCAGCTACAAAGCCACCTGAGTTACTTTCCAAGCTGGAGACAAACACCTGGAGAGAATAATGCTCATTCCCTATCAAACCACTGCAAGCAGGACATATTTTAATTCCAAGCCAAATTACTGTAATTTTGGTGACATCAGTGATTCTAACACATGGGTGCTGCTGTTATGTTTCGTTTGTGCCCCAGTAAAGAAATATTTTCATGATGACTGAAAACGTGCTTTACATTGTTTCAGAAAAGAAGCTGAGATTCTCCACATGCCCAATTTACTCCAAATTTCAGATCCTATTTGCTTATTAAAATATAGCCAGTCACAGACTTGTAGTGACCCTATTCTTCAAATACATTCTGATAAATTTCCCTACATTCAGCAACAACTCTGAGTGTCCCTGATTAGCTTTTCACTAGCACTGTGCTTCTGAAGGAGTGAGAACTGGTGATCTTTGATTAGAAATCTAAATCATCTCAAATTTTGTAATGGTACAAAGAGAATGTTCTTTGTTTTCCCAAGTGCATCAATGAATGATTTTGAGGGGAAAAAATAAACTTTGCCAGTCTTGAGGCAGCTCATAAAATGTATTCCAGCTGCACATGCACACAACCAATCCCATGCTAGCTGGAGCATGCTGGGAATTGTAGGACTTTTTTCTGTTTCAACATGCACTGGATTGCACCTTAAAATGCCCCCATGAAAGAGGGATGATTAGCCTACTGTGGAATCACAAAGGAGGGAGAAAATACAAAGCAACTCAAAAACAAGTCCTACCACCACTGGTGGGAGAGCAGGGCATGGGCTTTTTGTGTTGCAGCGCTCTGGCTACAAAACTGAGGACGCAGGAAGGTATTAATCATATGCTGAAGACGCCAATAGGAGGGGGGCAATGGCTCCACACCCAGGATGCTGCAACAGAAAAGGAATCGTCCTGCATCCCCACCAGCTCCACCTCGAGCGGTGGTGGGACATGGAGCTGGTCCTCCACTGATGACTGCCATGGGTGGGCAGAGCCCTGTGGGAAAAGACATGAACTTTCATGCTATCCTGCATTATGCAGCTGCAGAATATAAACAATCCTGAATGCAGTTATTGAATGGTTGGTAACTCAGTGGCTCGGAAATCGTATCACCGTAGCAACCTCGGTTGCTGTTTCTCAGTATGAATATTGTTTGAAGAAAGGGGGGAAATGGAAAAGCAGATCTTTTGACTTGATCATTGTTTACAGAGGCAACAAAGGGTTATTTGCATCAAAATAGGGTTGTTTCATCTCTCTGCGTTTGTCAGCCTATCAAATGCTCTAATACCTAAGCCTGATAGTTTAACATTACGCGATTGGGTGGAAAGGGTCATCTCGAGGCACAACCCATCCTTAGGAGAGACTTTCTGCAGAGGCACTTGGATGAATCAGAAATGCATTAACAAGAAAACACAGATGCGGGGGAGCCCACTCAGTCACGTAGCCTGTGTTTCTTTCACAAACGCCGAGCGGTTTGCTGCAGAGCATGCCTGAGAGCTCTGTTCATCACTTACTGCATAGGGACCAGGGCGCTTTGGGTTTCTTGAGAGAGAGTATAGATCGAAAAGGTAGGCAAGGACCGATGATTATCGCATTGAGGTTGCTGCCCCCTCCCTTTCTTAGGTGGATTGCTGGTTAACAGCCCGCAAGGTTCATTCCGTATTTCATCAATGGGAGCTAATGGCAATGTTCCCCTATTCATTGGAAATCTCTGGTGTTTTTGAATGAGATACTCATCAGAGCTTGGTGACACATCGCAGCTTGACGGCAGGGGGCAGAGGAACGAGTGTCTGAGAAGCAGCAGCTAGCAGTTTGGAAGAGACAAAGGCAGAGAGAGAGGGGGGGGGAAGTCGCTGAGCGCTGAAAGCGAGGGGGTCGCATGTGGATCTGAGGATCTGGTTGAGCATCTCATGCTTGCTAGGGGTGCTCCTTTGCCTCCGTGTGGCCCCTGTTTCTACATCTGCAGATAAGGTTCTCTCATCCAAAAGAAAATAACTGTGATGCTCTGCTTCCCCAACAACGCCAACAAATTAAAGGAACTGGGGAGTATGTAATAACTGGTATTCTGTGCAAATTGAATGAACAAGCACATATATTCAAAAGACTCGGAAGGCAACCAACATTCTGGTTTAAATGTGTACGTAGCTGGCTCGGAAAGATAACATTGCAGTGTAGTGCCTTAATAGTGTAAATCTACAGTCCACAACTTGATATTGTCAAAATGTGTTGGAATACAAATCCCAATATCGTTCAGTAGCATAGAAACATAGAAACACAGAGCGAGTCAGAAGGGGTCTCCCAGGCCATCTAGTCTGACCCCCCAGTTCTAGCCAGATCTGCTCAAGACATGCCCACCATGTGCATGTCCAGCCTATCCTTGAACACCCGCACCGATGGGACTTCAACCACCTCCCGAGGAAGCCCATTCCACACCCTTGGGGTCCTGACTGTCAGGAAGTACTTCCTGGCATTCAAATTGAACCTTGGTTCCCTGAGCTTGGCTCTGCTGGAGTGCATCCTGCCCTCCTCTGCAGAGGATAACAAGTCTCTATCCACTTCCGTGTGACTTCCATATGTCGCCAACAGATCTCCTTGGAGTCTCCTCTTCTCCAGGCTGAAAAGACCCAGTTCTCTCAGTCTGGCCTCATATGGCTTTCCATGCAATCTGGCCACCATCCTTGTGGCCCTATGTTGCACTGATTCCAACCTGGCTATATCCTTCCTGTAATGTGAAGCCAAGAACTGAACACAATACTCTAGCTGCGGGCACACCAGAGTCATATGGAGTGGTAATAATACCTCTCTCGAAGAGAGATTAAACTAAGAATGTCCCAGAACACATCCAGAATCTGGTGTACCAAGCAAGGATGATAAGAAGAAACAGATTAATGCTGGAAGCAGTTCCTGAGTGCAGAAAGCTTCTGTTATGCCCTTAGAGTTTAGCTGATCTGAGAGCACCAAACAGACACAGCTTGTTGTGGAAACAATTTAGTTGAATTTACAGCAATGCAACTCACATCAACAAAATACAAAATGACACACATGACCATACCAGCTAATGAACTTGCTGAAAACCAGTGTGGTAGAGAGCCAGTGTGGTGTAGTGATTAAGAGCATGGGACTGGGACTCAGGCGATCTGGGTTCTAGTCCCTGCTCAGCCATGGAGCCAACTGGGTGACTTTGGGCCAGTCACAGACTCTCAGCCCAACCTACCTCACCGGGTTGTTGTCGTGGGGATAAGATGGAGGAGGAGAATGATGTAAGCTGCCATGAGCCCTTTGTAGGAAAAAGGCAGGATATAAATCGGGAAAAAAAAATCCTGTTCTTGTTTTATGCTATTCTTATTTCCAAGTAAATTTTTGTTAAACTCAATAAAAAATATTTTCCACCCCTTCAAAGAAAACATGTTTTTTTAAAAACATGAAAGTTCTGCTCAAATGCTCTAAAATGTCTCTTCCAGGCCAGAAACATGGTTCTTCACCACAGCTCCCTGACTTTAGGTGAGTGCATGTGTGTGAACAAACATTTTAAAATGCCTTCTTTAAAAGAATAGATGTCTAAAACATGCAGACTATGGCTCTAGGTTTGTTTTTCATTTGCTTGTTCATTGGTTTAATACTCCAACATAGCAGTACTTACTTCTGGCACAACAGAAAATGTATCTCTAATCTTGCTGCAAGACAACTGACAAAAAAATTCATTTAACTCATTAGCTTATTTCTTATGAAGCTTTTCTATCAAGGCTGCTAATCAACTGTTAATCCACTGTACCGATATCGGGTTGAGTTGAGATCTGAACACTGCCAGTGTTTTCTCTCCTGCTTTTCCACTGCATTACCTCTAGGTGGCACTGTATAATAGAACAGCATAATCACAGAAGCTGAAATGATGTTTCCTTGTGCTTTCTTTAAACAATACTGCTTTTAAAAAAAAAAAAAAAATCCCCCTGCTTTTAAAAAAAAAAAAACTAACCAAAGCAGAAGAAATGGAGGATCACAACACTGTCTAAAGAACTTGTAAACAACAGTGAGTAGGGAATGACAAATGCACAATACAGATAGAAAAGCTCTGGGTGTATATGTCATAACATTAGTTGTGCTTACCATGTCTGTCAAAGCATGAGATGACTGGACAAAGACCGACACAACCTGGAATAAATAAAAACCACTAAGTACATATTCCATATGCTGCGGAAAGACTGATTGCAGTCATATACTTTTAAATCAAGCACCTTGCTGCTCTCAAAAAGGATGGCATCCGTAGCACATGGAACTCGGCCTTGATCCCAGTTGGAACTATTTTCAAAATTAGTGTTTGGAATCCATCGCTTGTACACAGCATTTGAAGCACCTGAAAAAGAACAAAGAAAAATTGAGTGTACTGTCCATGAACTTACTGATAGGCTGTGCCTCAACCTCGCATTCCATTCAATGACTGTCCATAATTGGCAGCACCAATGAAACTATGATCCTTGGTATCATACCAAACGGATGCGGTTTGCCAGGGCACACAAAACAAAAGAAGCAGGCCATTTGTTTCAAGTGTCGCCATGTCCAGAAAATGCCACAGCAAAGGTCTCTGCCCAAAGAAATGATATTCTTTAAGAAAAACCCTGCTGAATCAGACTGAGGGTCCATCTAACCCACCATTCTGTTCACACAGTGGCCGACCAACCGCCTACAGGAAATCCACAAATGGGATATGAGTGTGATGGCACCTCCCGCCCATGTTCCTCAGCAACTGATTTGCATTTGCTTCTTGCTCTGACTAGTAGCCATTGGCAGCCTTATTTATTATTCATTTATTAAAACATTTCTATGCCGCCCCATTCGCCGAAGCCTCGGGGCGGCTCACAACATTAAATTAAAATACAAACATTAAGTTAAAACATTAACTTTACATAACATTAAGTTAAAATGTTTGTAAAATACAAACATTAAGTTAAAATACAAAAAATAACAATATAAAATATATAAAAGCCTTATCCTCCATGAATTTGTCCATCCCCTTCTAAAGCCATGCAGATCATGCAGGCCATCACTGCATCTCATGGAAGTGAATCCCACAGTTCAACTATGTGCAGTGTGAAGAAAGCTTTCTTTTCATCCGTCTGAGCCTCCTACCAAACAGCTTCATGGGATGATCCTGGGTTCTAGTATTATAAGTGAGGGAGAAAATGTCTCCCCATCCATTTTTTCCACACAACGCATAATTTTGTACAACTCTATCATGTCTCCTTCTACTCACCCTTTTTCTAAGCTAAACAATCCCAGGTGGTATGACCTTTCCACACAGGGGTGCTGCTCCAGCCCCCTGATCCTTTTAGTTGCCCTTTCTAAATCAGCAGCATTCTTTTAAGCTGCCCTCTGTAGCCCCAAGATCTTTGGTCATTATACCTGAAGCTGATTTTTGGTTTTTTGCCCTCCAACTGGCATCACTTTACACGAGCATACACGAATCCATATTATCATTATCATTTCTATACTGCCCAACAGTTAAAGCTCTCTGAGTAGTTGACAAGAACACATAAAATACAATATAAAATACAGGCAACATCAAAATCTCATACGAGTTACAAGATTTTAAAACCAAATTTAAAACAAATGTAAAAATACAAATTAAAACAAATGCAAATTAAAACATAAGACCTGTTTAAGCACCTAATATGAGCCCAATGTAATAGTAAAGTAATTAAATGTCCTGCGATAGAAGACAACATTGCACTGCCACTGAAAATATATTAAACATGCCAGCAAGCAAGCCTCAATGGGGAACTCCTGAAATGCCCAGCTGGGAGACAAGTCCCAAATCTAGATCAGAGGGGTTCAGGTAGCTTGTGCTTGAAAGAAATTTTCTGTTAGATATTGTGGTCCTAAGCCAGGTGAGTTAATGAAGTTTGCAAAACCATTTTATTTTATTTATAAATTGTTAATGCAAGTTTTAAGGCTGAAACCGTCTCAAGGTGCCATTCATTTAATAAAAAAAATATTCCAATGCTGCACCCTCATTTTAAAGATACTGCAAATGAGATAACATAAACTTGGATATGACAAGTGTTTTAAGGTAAATGTTTTCTTTTGGATGTAGTAGTCTAAAGGATTGCCTTAGATTTTCCGAACAGTTTGTAACAATAAAGATTTCTGAGTTAAGCACCCAAATGGCTCCTGCTGTTTTGCAGTTCCCACAACACTCACAAAGGCCACAGTTAAACAATGGAACTTGCCACTACAAGATGGAGTGATGGCCCCAAGTCTGGTTAGCATTTGAAGGGGAACAGACAGATTCATGAAGGAGAAGGATACCCAGGACTACTAGTCCAACCAGCCTGGTTGCTGGGGTCATTTTCAGGGTGGTTGCACACAGTACTTTGGCCCAACTTGAATCAACCAGAGGAAGAGCCTTCAGTGGAGTGGTTCCCTGTGAAATCCCCTGCCTCGCAAGGGAATTCCTAGGAAATTCAGTTTTCAGTGCCTGCTGAAGACAACTATTGTCCAGGATGCATTTATTTCACAAGCACAGAACAGCTTGTCTTCCTCCACCTCCTTCCTCAGCACTACCACCACTCAGCTTGAGGGACGGCTGTGTCCAGCAAGGGCAGGGTGAAAAGAGAAGTTTGCATCACCTCTCCCCTGCTGCCTGCTGGCACGATCAATTCTGCATTGTTGCAAGGCGGGAGGTGCAGCTGAGGCTTCCCTTTGGGAAACCCAGCCAAACACAGCCCATCTCCGGTCCTTGCCAACAACTGCAATTGTCCCATGGTTGTGGCGGTTGGAAGGGGAGACTTCAGGTAGGCATCCAAGTGCACACCTCTGCCCTCAGTCCCCCACGCTTGGGCAGTGGCGCGCCCACAGGTGCTGCACCAAGCGAAGGCAGAAGAACACAGCACATGGATGCCCTTAAGGAGGCAAGGAGGAACGTGCCCCATTTGCTTACCACGAGGGCAGGGGGTGGCCATGACCACAAGCAATGAGACAGGGACCTGCAGTAGCACATAGAAACAGAGTGGGTCAGAAGAGGCCTCCCAGGCCATCTAGTCTGACCTCCAGCTCCAGTCAGCTCTGCTCACGACATGCCTGCCATGTGCATGTCTAGCCTAACCTTGAACACCCTCACCGGTGGGGCTTCAACCACCTCCCGTGGAAGCCCATTCCATACCTAAAGTAAACACTGGAACAAGTCATGACGTCTTGGGAATGGCCTCAAAGCGGCACCAAACCCACCCCATGAGAAGCCCGCAGAGCTCAAAGCCACCGTGGTTTAATATGGTATGAGAATCCAGCCATTGTCAGAACAGAGCTTATTATGCCACCTCCCTTTTACTTTCAGGAGGGATAAAAGATTGCTTTGGCCTGTTGGCCATTTTAATGGCATTGTCTGAATGCAGTTAGAAGCTGCAGACTGGAAGGAGTGGGTGGCAGCTCCATTAGAGCACAGATCATAATAAGCCCTCTCAAGCCAAAAAACCAATTATTTGAGTCTCGTCCACCAAGACAAAAGAAAAATAGCATAGCTCACAAAGTTCAGCCTATTGGCTTCCAACATCATTTATTGTTGCAAGCAGGAAGGCACCACTTTGTACCACTAAGAAATTTGAGATGACTAAGATTTCCTGGCCAAAAATCACCAGTTCACCCTGACTCACAATGCTGCACTGAGTTTGGAGTTAAACTAGTGGAAGGCTAATCAGGGATACATAGATTTGTTGCTGAAATCAGAGAAAATCATCAGAATGTATTTTAGGAATACGATCTATAAGTGGCTGGCTGTAATTAAGCAGCAGATGTACATTTCTGTTGTATTCATCCACTCTCCCAACAAACATCCTGCCGGCATTTTCTTTTCTGTCCTCTATATCCACCCCCTCCCCAGATAAAGTGCAACAAAAAACAAGTAATGGTACATCTTTGCAGCATTTACCTGCACGCTCTCCTCTCCTGGGGTTGCAAAATCTTTCAGAAATCTACCTTTAGGCTGACCTACTATGGAGACTGTAAATTCAACAGGGGCAGGCATTCTGTTTAAATTTGAAGCAGTACATACATATCGCAAATAAATAAATATGCTGTACAGCATTGGACTGTCCTACTTTTGAAAACAACTCAGAATCTTCAAATAGTGCAGAATGTGGTTGCTTGTGTCCTTGCTGGTGCTGGTCATCAACTGCATATAACCGCTCAGGTTGATAGTGTGTTTCTGGGCCAAATTCAGAGTGCTGGTTTCTAATTTTTCAAGCCTTTAAATTTAGAGTCTGAGTTATCTGAAGGTCCGCGACAGCCTTTTGGACTTGTCTATGTGCTGAGTATATTATGAGAGGATCTACTTGCTGGCCAGCCATTAATTTCTGCAAGGTAGGGGCACAAGTTTGGACTTTCTTAATGGTGGGTCTTGTCCTGTGGAACTCCTCTGAAGAAATATATGGCTGCCTTTTAAAGCAACAACAAAATTCTTGCTTTGTCTTCTTAACTGAAAGGTTTTAATTACCTACACTGCTTTTGTTATTGGTTTATTCCTAAATGTGTTCATAATTCACTTATTTTATGAATATATTAAATTAATATATGATTGTATGTATTCTATTCTAAGCCACTTTGGGAAGGTTGCAGTCCTGAAGTAACGCAAGTAATAAATAATCAATCAGTTGATTTTTTTATTAATTATTTATCAATCAGGCCTCCTGTGCACACAGAAAATTGGGACTCGAGTCATACATCTTTATGAATAATCTTTATACTGCTGCAGATTTTTCATTTGGTTCATATTGTTGTTTCAAAATTTTAGCAGTTTTACAAAGTGTTATTTTGCAGTATTTTACAGGTTTAATTGTTGTGAGCTACCCAGAGATCTTCAGCTGTTGGGCAGTATAGAAATGCAATAAATACATAGCATCTAAAAGGACATATGCTTCACAATAATGCAGGGCATATGACTACTGGGAGGCATGGACAGAAGGACTTTGATGTCTGAGGATGCAGCAGGCAGGGGTAATCTTACTCCCATTTGCACATTTATCGAACATGCCTGGATTGTTTGTCTGAACAGCTCTCACTGGAGCTAAACATGGAGATCACACATTTTATTTATTTATTTATTTATTTATTTATTAAAACATTTTTATGCTGCCCCATTCGCCGAAGCCTCGGGGCGGCTTACAACATAGATAAAACAATCAGTTAAAATATCCATATAAAATAATCTTAATTAAAACACACATTATAAAATAAGCCGCCCTGGCCAGATAAAATTCAATTGTATTTAGCATTTAAAATGTTGCTTAAATAAAAAGGTCTTAGCCTGGCGCCGAAAAATAAATAACGACGGCGCCAGGCGGACCTCTCTGGGGAGCGCATTCC